GGCGGAAGAGCCGGCGGCGGGCGCGGCGGCGGCGGAAGCGGCAGCTGCGGCGGCGGCGGCTGTGCGTGCGGGGAGTGCTGGTGGACAGAGCTCACTGTTTGCTGCTGGAGACAACAAGTAGAATGCGGAGTCAAGTTTTGCGGACTTATGTGAAGAAGCTGAAGCACTTGAAGAAGGTTTTGATGAAGGAAATAGCGCAGGTGGAGGGGCCCCTCTGGTGCGTCGAGAAAGTCCTGTACCCGAGGCCATTCTGCATGCGCCGCTGCGTCCGCAGGAAGAAGTACCGCTGCAGACTGCAGCAGCAGCAAATTGAACTTGCATGCATTCACCTGCAGCAAGCCATCAAGGCTTACCTGCGGTGGGCGGGGCCGGACTTCCGGAAGTTCACTGCAGCACGGCAGGCCTTGGGGGACAAGCTGCCGCGGATGTGCGCGCGGGTGAAGTGCGGCTGCTGCTGCAAGTGCTGCTGCAGCTGCTGCTGCTGCCTCTACTGCTGCTGGAAGTGCTGCATGCGCTGCTGCAACTGCTGGCGCTACCCCTGCTACAAACTCACTTGCTGCTGCCGCAGCCACCCCGAAATGCTGCAGCGGCGGGCCGTGTGCAGAGCCCTCTGCGAAAGCCTGGAGAGCGAGCTGGAGCTGCTGACTGCGCACTTGGCAGCTAGCTGCTGCTGGCTAGCTCGCAGCGGGCAGCAGCAGCAGCTAGCTGAGCTAGCTGTGGCCCGCGGTCACCGCTTCCTCAACGCAGCCCGCAGCAAACTCCACCAAGTCCACTTCACTCTCTGCCAAAGACCCAGCACTGTGCCGCAGAGGCTCGTCGAGGCCACTCTTCACAAGGCCCAAGATGACTTGGAAAACGCCAAGGCCATCATAGGGCCCCTCCCCTTCAGGGGCCCCCGGCCCTACGACAGGGGCCCCCGCGAGCACCAGCTGCTGCAGCTGCCCCCGGAGGACGGGCTCGTGGCCCCACACACGCAGGGGCTCGAACCCCCCAGGACTCCCTTCCCGCTCCTCCGCACGCCCTTCTCCTACAGCTGCTTCTAGCTAGCTAGCTAGCCAACACGGCGGGGGCTAGCCACCGGCGGAGAGTAGCTAGCGAGCGGGACGGCCTCGCTAGCCAGCAGGGGAGTGGCTAGCCACCGGGAGAGCCTGGCTAGCTAGCAGGAGAATCGGGCTAGACCCTCTTTCCCCGTCTCCGCACGCCCTTCTCCTTCAGCTGCTTCTAGCTAGCTAGCCAACACAGCGGTGGCTAGCCACCAGCGGAGTAGCTAGCCAACAGGCGACAGTGGCTAGCCAGCAGGGGAGTCGCTAGCCAGCAGGGTAGCTAGCTAGCAGGAGAATCGGGCTAGACACTGCTTCCCATTCTCCGCATGCCCTTCTCCTGCAGCTTCTTCTAGCTAGCCAACAGGGCAATGGCTAGCCAGCAGGGGAGTAGCTAGCCAGCAGGGGAGTAGCTAGCTAGCGGGAAAGTTGGGCTAGACACCCATTACCCTCCTCTGCATTCCCTTCTACAGCTGCTTCTAGCTAGCCAGAAGGAGCTAGCTGCGGCTAGCAGCGGCTTGTCGCAGCTAGCTGCAGCTAGCTGCAGCTAGCTGCAGCTAGCTGTAGCAAGCCACTTCTCGCCACTGAAGGGGACATGTCGTGGCAACAAAGGTAAAACCAAGTGCCTCCAAGCAGCCATGGCTAGCTGCAGATAGCAGCAACTAGCTGCTCCCAGCTGCCACAAGCAGCAACTAGCTGCTGCTAGCTACAGCTAGCTGCAGCTAGCTGCAGCTTCCTGTCGCTTGCTGCAGCTAGCTGCTGCTGGCCGCAGCTAGCTGCTTCTGGCCATACCTAGCTGCGGCAGCCTGCAGTTATTTGCTGCTAGCTTCAGTTTGTTGCTGCTAGCTGCAGTTAGCTGGTGCAGGCTGCAGCTAGCTGCTGCTGCGTGCAGTTTTCCGGAGCAATTTGCTCGCCGGAGATCTCAAAGAACCTGCAGCAGCAGCAAAATTTTAATTTCTTCTCTTTTTTTCGCAAAGGCAGCAGCAGCAGCAGCAGCAGCAGGTAAATGAGCTCTTGCGGCTCTTCTGCTGCTGCTGCTTCTCTGTTGCTTCTTGTGTCTTCTTGCGCTCCTGTCCCTTTGCTTTTTTGTCTTTTTAATTCTTTTTTGTCTCCTTCTTTTCTTTCCTTTGTCTCCTTTTTGTTTCTTTTTTGTTTCTTTTTCGTTTCCCTTCTCCCCTCGCCTTTATCTTCCCTTTATTTCTTTTTTACTTCCTTTTTGTCTTCCCATTTTATTTCCTCTTCGTCTCTTTTTGTTTCATTCTTTGTTCTTTTTTTTTCTTTTTTGCTTCTGTCTCTTTTGCTGCGCTGCTGCCTTTGCTGAAAGCATTTAGAGTTGTGCTGCAGTGTGGGATGTACATACACCATCGTTTACTTTTAAACATCAAAAAGATAAATTTATTTTTACTTTTTCTTTTTTTTGTTTTTAAGGGTCTCTTTTGCCGCTGCTTCTTGCCTCAGCCTCTGCTGCAGCACCCCAACGTGTCTCCATCTTTGTCTCCGTCTAGTTTGGTCTCATTATTTGTCTTTTGCTGCAGCCCCAGCAGCAGCAGCAGCAGCAGCAGCAGCCAGAGATCCGCTGCAAAGTGAACTGCAGCAGTAGAAAGAGCTGTGAGGCCTCCAACAGGAAGCTGCTCTTGCTGCTGCTGCTGCCACTGCTACTACTACGACTGTTGCTGCTGTTGCTGTTGCTCTTGCTGCTGCTACTGCTGCTGCCGTTGCCGCTGCTCCTGCTGCCTCTACTTCGTTGCCAGAGCCTTTATTCCTGCTGCGGTGCTTGACCCTTCTATCGCTATGTGCTGCTCTATGGTCCGTTTCCTTTTTTCCTTTGCTGCTGTCGCTGCTGCTGCTGCTGCTGCTTCGCTTTTTGTCTTAGCAGCATATAAGTGTCTCCGCGCTGTCTCTACACTGTGTGCCATTCACCTGTCTCCTGCTGATGCTCTTTTCTGCTGTTTTAACTTTTTCTTTTCTTTGCCTCGTGTTTCTTCCAAAAAAACCTTTTTTCACACTTTTGCCTGCAGTCTGTGCTGCTGCTGCAGCAGGCCTTCTGCTGCAGCGTGCGCTGAAGCACTTAGTGGAGCAGCCGCTGCAGCAGTCGCTTTGCTGCAGCCAACGCACCAGCTGCTGCAGCAGCAGTCGCTGCAGCTGCTACAGCCATTCTATCGAGTGTCGCGGCAGTCGCTGCTGAAGCAACAGCCGCAGCAGTTGGTGCTGCTGCTGCTGCAGCAATTGCTGCAGCAATGGCTGCTGCAGTCAACGCAACAACTGTGAAAGGTTGCTACAGCAGATGCTGCAACAGCTATGGATTGGTTGCCCCGTCAGCTGCTGCAACCACTGCAGCAGGTGCTGCAGTAGTCGCCCGCCTGCTTACTGCAGCAGGTGCAGCAGCTGCTGCTGCACTTGCTGCCGCTGCTGCAGTGACCCGCAGCTGCGCTGGAGTGGTGCCAGCAGCAGCTACAGGTGCTGCTGGAGCAGTTGCAATTGCAGTTTTTACTGCATTTGCTGCTGACATTTCTGCTACCGTTGCTGCTGCAGTTGCTGCTGCTGCTGCTGCTGCTGTTGCTTGCCCTAAGGCTGCGGCGCAGCCCAAACTGCTAAATTGGGCCCCTCTTTTTCAGACTCGGATATACTCAGCGCTGCAAAGCGGTTCTTCCCCACAGTCAGTACTGCCACTGCTGCCCCTTTTAGCTGCTGCTGCTGCTGCTGCTGCTGTTGCTGCAGCTGGGTTGCCTGCTGCAGTGGGTGCTCCTCCAGCAGATGCTGCTGCTGCGCCGTTTGCGATGATTGCAGTTGCAGCTCTTGCTGCTGTTCCTGTGGTGACCGCAGCTGCAGCTCTTGCTGCTGCTGCTGCTGCTGCTGCTTGAAATCTGTCAGCAGCAAGCGGCGGCCAGGGTCCGCGAGTTTTTCTCCATTCAAACGAACTGCCCCATCTCTCAGCAGCCGCGAGGCTTCCAGGGCCGAAGGCGAGAGGGCGAGGGCCCTCATGAGTCGCGGCAAAGGAGGCCCCACACCCTGCAGCAGCAGCAGCACCAGCAGCAGCGACAGCAGCAGCAGCAGAAAAGCAGCAGCAGCGGCAGAAAAACGCAGCAGCAGCAAAGCGCAGCAGCAGCACAGATGATGCGCGAAAGAAGCGCAGTTGTAATAATACCGGAGAATTAGGCGGATCGCCACACCCCTGCTGCTATTGCTACTGCTGCTGCTGCTGCTTTGTTGCGGCCACAATGCTTGTTTCTGTTTGCCTTGCTGTGGCTGCTGCTGCTGCTGCTGTTTCTGCTTACTTCGTGGAAGCTTGATCGGGAGATAAAGTGGGTCGGCAGCAGCTGCACGGGAATACAGGCCTCGTTCTCCGCTGAGCTCTTGGCGCTGCTGTTGTTGCCGCAACTTCTGCTGCTGCTGCTGCTACTGCTGCGGTGGACTGGAAGAAAAGACAGAGAGGCTTGAGCACGCTGAAAGCCCTCCTCCCCATGAACAAGTCGAGTCAATTCGTCTGCTAGTTCCCGCTGCAGCAGCAGCAGCAGCAGCAGCAGTGGCAGCAGCAAACAGCAACAAAAGCAGCAATGTCAGGAACAGCAACACTAAAAGTGGGGCATTTGCCTCGAAGCAAACAAAGCAGATGCAGCAGCATCAGCAGCAGCCATAGATGCTACGGGTATTAGCAGCAAAGGCAGCAGAGCTCGCAGGGGGGCGAGGTACGACAACAGCGACGGCAGCGGCAGAAGCAGCAGCAGCAGAGGCAGCAGCAGCAGAAGCAGCAGCAGCAGAAGCAGCAGCAGCAGCAGCAGCAGCAAGCCCTGACTTTGAGCCGATTTGTGTTTGCAGGCGAGTTGTCTTGGGTGTCCCTAATAATTTCTGCTGCCGGCCTGTCGGAAAACCAGAGCAACAGCCTGCAGCAGCAACAAAAGCATCCAGAAGGCTGCTGCTGCTGCTGTTGCTGCTGCTGCCAATGACAAATACCGTGCTGCAATACGAGGCGAAGGCAATAGCCGCAACAGTTGACACAACCAGAAACAGTGGCAGCACCTACAGCAGCAGCAGCAGCAGCTGTATCACCAGCGGCAGCAGCTGCAACAGCAGTAGCTGCAGCAGCACTACCATCATTTTCGCAGCAGCAGCCTCCGCCAGCAGCAGCAAGCTGCTGCCTTCAGCAGCAGCAGCTTTAGCAGAAACAGCAGCAGCAGCACCACACAGCTTGCTGTCTAAGTACCCGCAACACTTGCGGCAGCAGCAGCAACAACAAAAGCAGCAGCAAAGCAGCAGCAGCAGCAGCAGCAGGACTTGCTTCTGAAGGTCACTGTCTGCAGCATTCCTCCAGCTCTGCCAAAAACGAAAAGGACTGCAGCAAGAAGGAGACAGCCACAGGGGGGCCCCCCGGGGCCCCTCACTTTTGCCCATCTTGCAGTTCCCGCTCCCCTCCAGCAGCTCAGTAGTTACGCCCACCAGCCACTGCTGCTGCTGCTGCTGCTGCTGCTGCAGCAAACGGCGGGCGACGTGGAGACCCGTGGAAATATTTCTCCACTGGTCACGGCCGCCTATTTGGCAGCAGCAGCGGAGGCACTGCGACAGCAGCACGAAGTCTAGGGCCTGCAGCAGCGCGTAGCCGATGTCTGCTGCTGTTGCTGCTGCAGTGCCCACGCCCAAAAGCTGCTGCTGCTGCTGCTGCTGCTGCCTCTCTGCTGCTGCTGCTGCTCGCGGAAGAATGTCAGCCAGAGGCAGCCGACGGGCAGCACATGAAAGAAAAGCCCCAAGAGGAATCTTCTCCAGCCATTTATCATTTCTTACAACAATAGGCTTTGGCAGTTGCTGCTGCTGGTCTGCTGCAGCAGCAGCAGCAGCAGTGCTTGCTGCTGCTGCTGCTGCAGGGGGAGGGGAGAAAATGCGGCGCAGCTGCTGCAGCACGCTGCTGCAGTTAGCCTCGATTTCCGCGTCGTACTGCCTCCAATGCTCGCAGCCTAGAAGCTGCAGCAGCAAACTCTCGCTGGTGCTGCTGCTGCTGCTGCTGCTGCTGCCTCTGCGCACCTGCAGCGCAACACGCGCCGTTGCAGTCCCTAGCAGCAGCACCGGCTGCACCCCCTCTTGCAGCCAGAGGCGCCGCAGCAGCAGCAGCGGCAGCAAATGCCCTGCATGCAAAGAGGGCCCCGTCATGTCAATGCCAATGTAAAAGGACACGCGTTTGCTGCTGCAGCTGCTGCTGCTGCTGCTGCTGCTGGTTTCGTGCAGCGAAAATGGCTGCAGCAGGCGAATAGCAGCATCATCTGCCGCAGCGACGGCAGGCGGAGTTCGCCCACGTCCTGGCCCTTCCGCTGCTGCTGCTGCTTGGTTTTCTGCTGCTGCTGCTGCTGCTGCTGCTTGGTTTGAGCTGAGAATGCAGTCAAGCTCCTTCAGGTCGCTAACTGTCGCCAGCAGCTGCCGCTGCAGCAGGTCCCTCAAGGTAGAGTTGCGTGGCTCCCAGCTCTCTGCAGCAGCAGCAGCAGCTGCTGCTGCTGCTGCTGCTGTTCCTGCTGCTAGGGAGGTTTTACACGCAGAAACATTCGCGGCAGCAGCAGCACCACCGCGGACAGCAGCAGAAGTTGCTGCTGCGACTCCGCAAGGAAGCCGCCGCAGCAGCTGGCTTTTAGGGCTTGCTGCTGCTGAGACGAAAGCACTGCAGCTGCTGCTGCTCCCCATTCCTGCGCTGCTGCTGCGGCTGTGGCTGAAATTAACAGCAGTGGGCCCCCTTCTGTTGCTGAAATAGGAGTTGCTGCTGCTCCTGCTGCTGCTGCAACTGCTGCTGCCGCCAAAACCTGCAGGAACCACAGTACGGCTAGCCCCAAGGTCCAGCTGCAGCGAAGCATAGCAGCAGTACTGCGCTTTCAGCATCAGCAGCAGCAGCAGGAGCAGCAGCAGTCGTTGCTGCTGCTGAGGTCTCATGGCTGTTGATGAGACCTGTGGGGGGGTTGGGGACTGCAGCAGGAGCAGCAGCAACAGCAGCTGCTATTGCTGCCGCTGCTGCGCTGGTGTGTCTCTAACTCTGAGGCCCTCTTTCTCAACAGCTTATTTCTTAGCAGCAGTTGCTGCTGCTGCAGCAGCGGCAGCGGCAGCAGAAACAATCGATGGCAGCAGCAGTGCCTCCATCTCCACTACACTGCCCACAGCCTCAACAGAACAAGACAAGCCGCCTAAAGCATTTCCAAATTTCACTTTGCTGCAGCAGAGGCTTATAATGCGTAGATTTGCAGCAGCAGCAACAGCAGCGGCGCCTGCTGCTTGTGCCGCTGCTGTCGGCTGCATGCGTGGGGCCGCAGCCGACAGGAAACATTGAATGGCTAGCTGCTTCTCTTGCCTTCTCCTTCTCTCCACAAGAAGAAAAGTTATTTCGATAAATTAAATGCCAATATCAATGTGTACAGACACTCCACACACACATTCCGCTGAAGCCGCTTTTTCCGCGCTGCTGCTGGTGCTGCTGCTGTAAGGATCAGGTGCA